ACTGCTTTCCCTTTCAATTCTATCCTCTGGACTACTGGGAAAACAGAACAAGATCATCCACTTATCATTTTTCTTTTCTTAAAGGCATATTAAGAGCGCCTTGATTTTAATGAAAATATTTTAAACTTCATATGACAATTAGAATTAAATATTTTACTGTAGCACTCCAAGGTAATTTCTTTTTAGAACAATGGCAGTCATTAAAAAGATAGGTTCAGGGTCTTAAGAACACAACTTTAAGCTAATTTGTTAGATAAATGCTATCTTGGAAGATCCAAAACACACAAAAGCAGAAAATGCTGGAAATACTCAGTAGGTTTGACAGCATCTGTAAAGATACAAAGAGGGTTAATGCTTCAAGATGTCATCAGAGCTAGTTTCTGAACTGGAGCTCTTGTTGAAAGATCACCAATCTGAAATGTTAATTCAGTTTCTCCTTCCACAGGCACCAGTTCTTTGAGTATTTTCTGCAGTTATTTCAGATTTCAAGCATGCAGTTTGGTTTGGTATCAGACCCAAAGGTTTTCTGTTGCATACTGGTTAAATTTCTCTCTTTAAAGTTTCCATTTTCTCTTTAAAGAGGTACATTAGGTTGCAAAGACTACATGCGGCAAAGACTAGAATTTGCATCATGCGTAATACAGTAATGTTATGGGAATACCATTGTCAGGAGAGTTTTAAGGTGTACAAAATGGAAACTGCTGCAGGAAAACAGGGCAACCGCGAATTGAATATATAGTTAACTAAATATGACAGAATATCCAAGACAGAAAGCAGAACAATTATTGCAACTATCAACAAAATAACTACCAACACTCGCATCTGAGACAAGGGCAGATATTTGGGCAGAGGGGAAATTGTCACTCATAAGTACAATAGGAAATCTAAATTGTAAGCTGAGTACCTATATTTAAAATCAATCTGGTTACATAACAAAGTATAATGATTATTTGTTTTGCATTAAAAAAGCAGCTGTCTTCATAGATACAGCAAGGATGCTGATTGTAACTAAAAGATGTTGTTGGATACAACTGCTGCCATAATACAAACAGAGTAAGTGCAAATACTCCAACAGCTGTAACACAAACTTAAGATGCATAGTCACGTGATATATCTTCATTTACTCTTATCAATCATTGACAATTCCGCCCTCCCACATCCTTGGCCTTTCATTCAATACTCCCTTCTAAGCATTCCTCCATGTTTCGTTATCTATATTTATAATTTAGATGGTGAAGTTAATCTTATTCTGATTATTCCATGTTAAGTTTCTCCCATCTATTCCAGTACCTTGTGCATAAGGCATTAGTCTACTGAAAATTCATAACACAGACATTAGAATGCCATTGTGGGTTAAACATGACTATGCAAATATAAATGAATAAATTACAAAAGCAAAACAAATGCTTGCATCCAACAGTTTTCTCAGGGGCTCTCAATTCAAATGGTTTGTCTAAATCCAAAAAGTATTATTGCAAGAAGAAACAAACACCCATAAATTAATTTTCTAAAAATTTCATTTAACAATGTATATTAAAATTGTCACATTGTCAGAAGCCTTTTTAAATGTTTGCATTGTAAATTCATATGTTCACACTGTCAATGAATATGTATGTAAACTTTTTTACACACTTCTATCCAACCACTAGAGGCATTGTGTTATCAGTGGTAGGAGCATGTAATTACAGCATAGCGAGTTTAGAAAAAACAGTTACCATAAGTGTGAATCCAGGGATTCAGAATACAAGACAGATACAATTTTAAAAAGAAATCTATCAAACCACCACAGCCTGTTTCAATTATGTTCCTAACTTTAACTCCCATACAATTACTCCCAAATTTCTATGTGGAACATGATTGCATATCAACTAGTAATCCATAATTTGTTTTACGATCTACTATCTACTGATCTCATACTTATACTGCCACTGAGGAATATGCCCTTATTCCAATTTTCCATGGACAACATCATAGTGAAGGCACTGGTAGACACTAACTGTAAATTCATAATGTTCCATCGAGATTATCCATTCAACTCCCAAAGGACTTCCTCAACAAATTTCAATGTTTAATAACCCTGGATCATATTAGCAGACATAAGCTTAACTAGCTCCTATTTTAATCCCCTAACATTAAGATTATTTTGTTTCATCACTTTACCACTACAGGATGTAACTGAAGTCTTGCCTGAACTTTCCATTTTTTAAATAATATTCCTCAATTTGAAACAATGGCCCTCTTAGTTTTGCACAAGCTGCACTCAAAAGAAAATGTGTGAAGTCTAAATACTGTAAACACCTCAATCTCAAATAACTTCTTTTAAATCATCCTTGTCTTTGCACAAGACAGAAAAGTCCCATAGTCTTTCCTCACAGCTCTCAAGTCTTAACTCTGTAATCACTGACAGCCTTTGTTGGCACTCCCTCCATTTCTTTTTTGAAAAGAGAGAAGCCTAAAGTCCAGATGCTGCTACTGATTTATATTAATCAAGATCAAAATAAAATTTTAGAATTCTCTGTCTATTTAGAGGTTACATCTCTAGCTTATTTATGTCAAACTGCACATCACTGCTTTAAAAAAGGTATCATTGACAGAAAGAAGCTTTTTGGATTGGCACACTGATAATTATGATTTGCCACCATTAACAATTTGGCGTTATCTTTAAATTAGGAAATGTTAAAACATACTTATATCCTTTGCATCATCTAAAAAGAAACAATAGCCACTTCAATGTCAGCTCATCGTTAAAAAAACAGCTGCCACCTAGGCTCCTCGTGTACCACTGCTTGCTGTTGTCTACCTAACCAGCCAATTACTAATCATGACTATCCTATTCAACTGAATATTATGCTTTTTTTATTGAGTAAAAGGAGTTCCAAAAATCATCTGACAGAAAAATTTCTATTTGTGAACCCCTCCCCATCAAGTATTTTAATCTGAAGTTCTTATAAAAATACAGCCGAGCTTCACCCTAGAATATGCCAAAATACAGCCACAACAGAAGCAGCCCAGCAATTCTTTTTCAGCCTTTGCAATTCAGTCAACGTATTTTACTGATCCAGGGCCATTTTTATTTTGACTTAAATGCGTGGTTTAATATGAAAGAAAAATACTCCAGCTTTAAATTAATCTACATCACTATTGCACAGCAGAGATACAAAATTGCATTTATTTTGAAACTAGTTCTCACAAATCAATTCACTTCTGAAGTGCAAATTACCAGTGTGAAATTACTCCCAAACTGTTATCAATGTTCTGTTATTAAACAATCGATGTGCTTCCAGCAAAGCAAGATGAGCTGACTAGGTCAAAAACATCCATTTCACTTCTGCAGGTTCCTCAATTTGGTAGCCCAACCAAGAGCTGGCAAAATTTACTTTCAAGTCCAAAATAAACAGGTCCAAGAAACAACCCTGTAAGAAACCAATTAACTGACTGACTACAAGCCACTAGTACAAACAAATTACAACACACAAATCAAAAAAAAAATCTGTGGGGAGAAGAAGTGAAGAACTCCAGTACGCTATATTAGTTCTAGACCATTTCTGGTCAATGGATTTGATCCCAATTCCATGCAAAAGGCTGTAGATGTTGACATACAGCAGACTTTTCCTTATGGTGGTTCAATGTAACTTACAAATGACAAAGTGTGGACATTCAATGTACATTCTCACAACAAATGCTGTACAATAGCAACTAATTCAAAATGTTAAATACTTGCATCATTTGAAACTGTTAGATGGTTGATAAGGAAAAGGATACAGTGAAAAGGAGATGTTCATGGGTTGCTCGTTGATAAATCTCACAACTAATATTTGTTGTCATTTTTAACATGTTGCAATGCTCAAACACATTTCATAGCGACATCATAGGACAATGTTTTACAAATAAGCCCTGCAGGGAGATATTTGACTATGGCTTGATCATCTGGCCAAAAAGTAGCTGTAAAATAGCATGTTAATAGAAGAGAGGTTGAAAGGTTTCAGAACGGATTCCAGAACTCCTAGGCATAAGATAGATGATGGCACAGCTACCAATGGAAGAAAGGAAGTCAAGGATTCACAAGAGACCAGAATTGGAATGATGCAGATTTTTCACAGGGCTGTAGGACTGGGGTTTATGATGAAGGGCAATGGCATTGGAGGAACTTAAACACAAAGGGCAAGAATTTTTCTTTAGTCAATGTATTGTTGGACTGAGTCAACTTAGGCCACCGTGCACAGTGAGGGAACTTGGTGTGACTAAAACAATAATTTGTTGGCTGAGAAAAAACACAATCAATCAATCAATCAATTTGTCTATGCACTTAAAAATTATTTGTGCAACAAATATGAAACACGTACATTGCAAATATTTTTGATTTTTTTAAAACACCCATGAATGCTAAACATAAGATCGAAACCTTTAAACGTAGGTTGTCAGGACATAACTAATATGTTATGATGTGAAATGCAGACATCTGGCAGTAGTTCCAGCTTAATCCTGTTTTTCTTTTCTGGAACATCTTTCCAAATCACAAGTTAACAAGTTGGAACTCACTCATTTTTACTCAAACAAACATTTACGGGCGCATTCATCAACAATTTTTAAACATTCTTTAAACTGTAATCGGAGGGGGTTCCGGGGTGGGGGAGGTGGGGAGCACCGTAGCGGTAACGTCTTGCTATCTTAACACAAATGCAACAAAACCTTAGGAATCTCCACTTTGTCATCTATAAACTGCAGGTACGTCTTTGAAAAAGACACACAAAAAAATCCCATCCCCCTCCAATCCAATGAACAACAAAACCTAAGAACATATTGGAAAACGTGCAAATCAAAACCTAAAGCAAAAACAATGTATAGATCTTCCAAAGAAAACGCCATAATTAAACATATAAAACATAACCTGTCAATGAAAGACGTGTGTGCAATATTAACACACATTCTCATTTTTATACATACGAGGGGGCAGGCACGGACTTGCTTATCAAGCAGGCCCCAATTTTTTGCTCGCTTACCAGATCAAGTATTTCAGTTTCTGCTGCAGTGCACTCGCCTCCGACTGTGACAGCCCAGGCACCAGAGACGGCAAAGCCCCGGTGCCCTCTTGTTTGCGAGGCTGTTGCCCGGGCTCCGGCTGTGGCTGCTCCTCTGCCATGGTGATGGTCGTGCGGCGGCAGCGGGGAAGGGGAAGGAGGAGGAGGAAAGGGAAGGTTGAGCGTGTTGAGCGTGTGAAAGTGGGAGGGCGAGGGGTTAGGTTTTGGGCTTGGGGGTGGAGAAGTGGGGGGTTGGTAAGGTGGCGGCGGGTGGGGGGGGGAAAGACACGCACGGCAACTAGGCCGCAAGCTGTTAACGGCCCCGCGGGAGCGAGCAGCGCCTTGCCCCCCCCACCCCCCTTTCCACCTCCTCCTCCTCCCCGCTCTACAGGCCGCTGCCAGGCGCCCCTCGCCTGGGATTATTCAGCAAAGCGACTCGACCCCGACCCCAGCTCCGTGCTCTCCCTGTATCTGGCGCATCATTATCCCGCTCTCTGCCGGAAGGCGCTCCCTTCGCCTGTCAGTGAAATTAAAGTAAAACTAAAATTATCCCTTTTTTCTTCTTCCCCCCCCGGGAAACGATAACTAGGATATTCGTGTTTTTTTTTTGAGGAGTGGATGATAGGCAGGGGCGGTGGGGCGGTGGGGCGGTGGGGGGGGGGGGGGAGTCTAAAGGTGTGAAATCTCGAAGCCGATCCCTCGGCTCTTCATTCGGAGCCGAGCGGAAAAATAACTCCAACAAACAAGCTGCGCCGCGCAGGCGCACACGGGCAAGGGATTTTGAGGGGGGATAGAAACAAGGGTCGTACCCCCCTCCACCGGGTCCTAATGACACCCTCGGATTCTTAACACCCCCTCAAGGGACCAAATACCCTTTACCGGGTCCTAAAGACCCCTCCATGGTTTTAAACACCCCCATCCTGTCCTGCCATGTTCCAAAAGCCGCACTGGTAATAAAGACCCTCTCAAGGATCCCAAACGTTCCCGCATCACAAATACCCGATCCCTGTCATATAGACCCCCTCCCTAGGCCCCAAAACCAACCAAATCCCGTCCTAAAGACTCCTCCCGGATCCTATTTACTCCCTGGGACCAAAGCATGATCCCTCCCAGTCAGAGTCCTAATGCCCCTTCCACATTTCAAACCCCCTACCATCCCCCCAGGGCCTAAAACCCTCCTCCTGGTTCCTGATGCCCAGAGCATAACCCCTCCCCTCAGCGTCCTAATGCCCACACAGAGCCAGCGTTTAAGGAGGTAGATATAGCCCTTGTGCTAAAGGGATCAAGGAATATGGGGGTGATTAGGGTATGGTGGAGCAGGCTTGAGGTGATGAATGGCTTATTCCTGCTCCTACCTTTTTATTTTTCAATGTTTTAAAGCCTTCTCCCCATCCTGATGCCCATCCAGTCATTATGCCCTCCCAATGCTCCTAATACTCCATTCCTTGGTTCCAACACCCTTCATTCATCTCCTCCCTATGTCCTAATGCCCCAACTGCAGATCCTGATGCACAGCAGTCACCCCTTTTCCCGTGTCCTGATGCCCCAGCCCTGCTGCCAAGTATTCACCCCTTGTCCATTCATAGGTCCTATCACCCAGAGTTCACCCCTTTCTCCATGTGTCCTAACGCTCAGCAGTCACTCCTTCCCCAGGTACTAACATCAGTACTTACCCCATTTCCCAGACCCTAACACGCCTCCCTGCAGCATACGAATCTCCAGTATTCATCCTTTCTCACCTGGTAATAAGCCAAGAACTCATCTACTCCTCCCTGTGTCCTATCACAGTTCTCACCCCACCAAATCTCCCAGGGCTTAATGCTCAGTGCTCATTTCCTTCCCCTGTGTTCTATCACAGTTCTCACCCCACCAAATCTCCCAGGGCTTAATGCTCAGTGCTCATTTCCTTCCCCTGTGTTCTATCACAGTTCTCACCACACACACACACACACACACACACACACACCCAACACCTGTAATTCACTTCTTCCTGGGTCCTAATCATTAATGCCCCGGGGCCCTGATACCCAGCTCTCTACACCACCACCCTGGTATTACATCTCTAATCCAAGCCAATTCTCCCTCCCCTGATCCTAACATCCAACCTATTCCTCCAGGACGTATCACACCCTACTTCTTGACAACCCCATGCCACAGGCCCTAACACTCCTTGGTTTATCACCCAAGCACTTGGTCCCAATTCATCCTACCTCCAACCCAGGTCACAACACACACACCTTCACCTCAGCCCTAACATCTCTTAAATCATAATGCCCACAGCCATTTTTTAAAACTTAATCCAGGGGATGTCAGCTTCACTGGCCAGGCCAGCATTTATTGCCCATCCCTAACTGCCCAGAGGGCTGTTAAGAGTCAACCACATTGCTGTGGGACTGGAGTTGTATGTAGGCCAGACCAGGTAAGACAGCAATTTCTTTCCCTAAAGGCTATTAGTGAACCAGCTGGGTTTTCCAACAATTGATTCATGGTCATCTTAATTACAAATTCTTATTGAATTCAAATTCCACCATCTGCCATGGTGGGATTCAAACCCAGGTCCCCAGAACATTACGTGGGTTTCTAGATTAATAATGTAGTGGTAATACCACTCGACCATCACCTCCCCTGTTCTAATATCCAAGGAGTTCAGTGAATGCAGTGGAGCCAGGTTGCAAAGAAATGAGAGATTCATGAGTTGTTGCACAAATGCATGAACTTTTCTTCATTTATAATATAAAATAATGGCGATTGTACATGCTGCTGTTGCCAAAATTACACTGCATTCATAAATTTAAGCGACAGAACCATTTGGTGCACAAGGAGGCCTTTCATTTGTCTGCCTGGGTCTTCAGAGAAGAAAGCAAATTCGTGCCATTCTCCCATGTGATTTCTATATAGAGATAGTAGGAACTGCAGATGCTGGAGAATCCGAGACAGGAAGAACAGGTTAGGGAGGCAGGGACGAGCTGGACTGGTTTTGGGATGCGGTGGGGGGAGGGGAGATTTTGAAACTTGTGAAATCCATGGATTTCAGTGGGTGATGTTGATTCTGCAATAAATAATTTGAAATTACCTGCGGTCAAGTTTGATGGTAAGGTCACTGCAGAATTAATTCTGTAAAATATTTTTTCACCTGATTTCTTCCTCTCAGTTGGATTCTGGGAATACAGGTAAAAATAACTGGGATTTATTCATATTGAATCCTTATTCATTAATGTAAATAGAGGCATTTAACCACAGAAGCATCACATCATCACTGCACAAAAGCAAGTTGCTGGAAAATTTCAGCAAGTCTGGCAGCATCTGTGAAGAAAAATCAGAGTTAACGTATTGGGTCTGGTGACCCCTACTCAGTTCTGAAGAACTTTACAGATGCTGCCAGACCTGCTGAGCTTTTCTAGCAACTCCTGTTTTTGTTCCTGATTTACAGCATCTGCAGTTCTTTCGGTTTTTACATCATCACTGCACCTTGTTTTTGCTAATGAATACTTCTAGCAAAGTTTTATGTGTAGGTTCATGAAAGGTATGTGGCCAATTTCCCTTACCTAATCCAGGACTTGGGAAATCAATTGTAGCATCTTCATCACTGTTTTAGAATCAGCTATTCAGGACAGATTGGGGTTCAGTTCTGGGATTTTCCTGATTTATAACGTTCTGCACATTAAATAAACACTGGGCCATTGAGAGGACCAAAAACCATCCATGTCTGTAAATCACAAAAAACAAAATATGTATTGGAAACACTGAACAGGTCAAACAGTACCTGTGCGAAAACAGGCCAATTAATGTGTTGGATGTGGATGATATTTTCAAAACAGCTCACTCTTGCAAACTTAACTGGTCTGTTTTCACCAAAAAGGTTCCTTGACCCATCACTTCTGTTGCCAGCAAAAAAATCCACAAGTCAATTCTAACTCTTAAAACTTTAATAATGGTGCACACCACAGAGAACAACTTTGACCCAGCCTGCAAGTTCTCCCACACAAGGAAAAAGACTATACACATTGAAAATCCATTTTCTGACTGTACAATGATCATGAGATATCAGGCTTTTTGAAGTCATGTTCCTCGCAGTTTGCCTTGAGGCCTAGGTAGCAAGATGACTTGCACAATTTTTTGATGGTGTCAGTTCATATCTTGTGGCAAGCTTGGGTGAGTAGGAGACTGTGGGATTATTTCCCCTCCAAGAATGAAACATGAGACTGACAATCCAGTGTAGAAGTCATTGGTGGTACCATCAATTAGATGTAGTGCCAAGCCTTCTTCTTTTGTTATTTAGAATGTGAAAAGATCTCACAGCATGATTTGAAAAAGAGCAGGATATTTTCTTGGTGTCCTGGCCAACATTCCTCTCTCATCCAACACTAACAAAAGTAGATTAAATACAAATTATTTTGCTCTTTCTGGGAACATGCAGTGTGCAAAAGTAGCTGTGGTATTTGCTTTTAACAGAAAAGTCTCTGATACTTCAAAATAATTCGATATATGCTAAGCATCAAACTTTAAGATATTTGTGAAATATCTTAATAATGTGAAATATAAATACAAGTGTTTACTTTTTTGCCATGATTTCAATAAGTTTCAATACAGTTAAATAAAATGTTTAAAAAAATACAAAAAGGCTGGAAGGTTTTGCATTCTACTGCATGTCCTAGCTAACACTTGGACTGTCTGGAGTCCTCTGCTAAACATGTGTAGCTATGCAGGTGGCAGCACAGCAATGCAAACACTCCCTTTACAACCAGATGATTAAGGAGTATAGCAAATAGGATCGGGAGGAAGCCATTGGCACATCCCCTCAAGCCTGCTTCACTGTTTAACAAAATCATGGCTGTTTGCCTACCTCAATGCAATTTTCCCACATCATCCAATAATCTATGATGCCTTTGATATTTAAAAATCCATCCAAATTAGCTATCTATAGTAGTAGCGATACTCAATAATTATAATTCATTTGTAAGATTTAAAGCCTTGAATCGTATTCCATTTCAAAATAATGAAGTAAAATTGAAATTGCAGACTTCATGTAGTGGATGACTTCATGTACTACTGGGAACAGCAATGCAAAATGTTTGTGCCCTGCACAGGTTTATACCTCAAGATATGAAAGGATGTGTGTTGATGAAAGTCTTTGTGGGGTTCAAGACAGAATAAATAGAGCATGGAAAAATCAATTAGTTATTAAATCTTTTCATAGCAATGGCATTTTGTGTGGCAGAAATAGGTTGTGATAAAAGGCAGGTTGTCTCGGATTCTCCAGCATCTGCAGTTCCTACTATCGCAGGTTGTAAGAGTTTGTTTTATCAACACTGCTGTATGCTTAGTACAGTAACTATCTGTTTCCTTCTAATGATGTGAGCAGATGTACACTTGTTATGTTTGGCACACTGTAAATGCTTAACAGGTAATACGAATACCTTCAGTGCTTTTACAGATGTTTCTTTCTATTTATAATATATTTTTATAAACCTATACCTATACCTGCCAACATTTTCCATTATCTATGTCACATTTACAATGGAAACAACCTATGTAACTTCTCACATTATAATTAAAACCTCCCTTCCCAAATTGGAGAAGCTGCAGAATCTGCAACATCATAGCAGATCAACCAATAACCATAAATATATT